CCTGAACAATTCTTCTGAAACTCTTCATGCATAAATAATGAGGCAAGCTTCATTTTTTCTGTATTGTCTATAGCTACATGTATTTTTAATATTTGAAGAAAGACATAGAAAAAAGAAAAGGAACAGTTTCACACCTGCAGGTAACACAAATATGCCACGTTTGAACTTCTACTGGCTTTTGTTACTTTTAATTAGTTTGTCTAACTTAAGAGATCTGCTTCCAGTGATGCTTTAGTAATAATTATATGAAATCTGAGAGGCTTCAGGGAAGGATCATATTTGCTTTCTTTTCTTAGAAGCAGAGCTTCAAGCTGATGTCCTTACTTTCAAAGCACAAGCTGTGATATCCTCATATACCTTTTCCTTTATTTCTTCCTCCTGCTTCTGACTTTGAGCCATCTTTCACAATGCCATAAATGCTTTAAGCAACATCACAATAAAACCTTTTCCTATTTTGTATTTATTTTGCATACATGAATACAAAATTAAAATATGTGTATTATCACTATATATTTCTTACAAGTTTTATAATGAAATAGAGGTATTGTCACCCACCTGCTCTACAACCCATTGCAATACAACACAGAGTTTACAGTTCAGTTTCACCCTTCACCCAGTTAGGGCAGGGTTTTTCTCTGAATCTGAGTAATAAAGGCCTGAAAACAATAACTTAATAAATTTAATGATTTAAAAAGACAAAGACCAACAGAGATCACAAGTTAATCAGAAGCCATGATGTCCACACTCCTACAGCATTGGATTAATCCTGGATGGACTTCTCCTTTGGCAGGCTGCACAGATCCCATCTCTGGAGGAAGATTCCTCTTTGGCTGCAGTATTTTAGTTTCCTTACAAGAAAACAGCTATTCCATAAAGGATGTTAACAAGAGAGCTTTACTCCTTGTATGCTTCTAGATAAGGGCAAGGCCATGCAGTTGCTCTAATCGCCTGCACTCTGTGCCAAGGAGCTAGTGAAGCTGATCCTGCTTCTAAGGGTTTTGTGCACCACAACCCAGGTCTGGAGGCAGCACTGCACAGACCTGGGCATGTTCCACTTAACTGTACTGTGAATCACCGGCTCCTGGATGTACAGGGCTCTCCTGGCCAGGATCACTGCAATTCCCCTGCTTCCATCATCTTCAAAAAGTGTCTATTTTTCACCCATGCTTTGCCTGCTTGCACATCCCAGAGTAATAATGTCCCAGTGCATTTTGGACTTTGAAGTTTGGAAATGAGAAAGAGGGTGTTGCTGATATTCAGGTTTTGTTCTCTTTTGTTTTGGTTTGCTTTGGTTTTCATATAATTCCTTTTTCAGATAACCTGCTGAAATTAGTGATTCAGAAAGCATTAAACTGTCCCATCTTAAGGCTGAACACACTGGCAAATAGCCTTGCACAGAACTCACTGAATTGCTTTGTCTGTGATTTTCACAGTATAGTATTTTTTATATCCTCTCTGTCATGGGACAATCTTCATTGCACTGACACTTTGTGTTCTTCCTCTTCGGACTAGAGCATACTGGTCAAATTTGAGCTATATGACTGGATAACAGAGTGCACACAGAGAAATGAGAAGTGGAAATAATAAATTGTACATGATGGGTTGTATGTTTGTTTTCACACAGTAACATTTAAATGACTCTGTTAGCACACCAGCAGTCCTAAAAATTTGTTCCTTAGCAGCTTTCTTACAGACCTGGTGTACTTCTTGGGGAATCTGCTCCCCACCTCTGAAAAGTAGTGAAGTAAGCGCAGGTTCCTGCTGTATTTCCATATAGATCTTATTTACTAGGCTGGCAAAACACAGACACAGGAGAATTAATTAATGCGCTGACACCCTCAGATGGGATTCTTGTGTATCTCTCTGGATTATCATGAGCAACTGCCAGTGAGTGATCAAAGCAAATGTTCCTGTTGTTCTGAACTGCCTGCAATAGGAATTCTTGCAAATGCTAGTCTGTTGCTAAAGTTTCTTTCATACTTTGCAGGCAATAACCATATAATGTAGTGAATTTGTGGATGATGTGAGTTGGATTGCCTCCTGAGCCGAGAAATGCTTTTTGCTGCTTAAAGCAGCACTGAAGCAAACTCAGGTTGTTTCTTGAGGTATCCTGTAGCAGGGAAAAAAATTCTATAACAGAAAAATTCCTTTTAACAGGCCTATTTTTGTCTGAATGCAGGTATTGCAGGAGAAAATGTGAGAATTCACTGCTGGTCCTCTTCTCTCAGGAGGCTCCTAAAACCTGCTAATAGTTACTTTATAGAAAAGCTTTTGGATTTTTGTAGCTCTACAGAAGACAATTGTACCCTGTCGTAGCCAGCACAAAAACTGGGTTATGTCTAAATGAGAGGAAACATTTCTAACCAAGGTATTAAGTTATCAGTACATTTCTTCTCCTTAGTCTTACCAGACATGTAGTTTTAGAACAAGAACTAGGCTTGTTTAATGCACTTTTTTTTTCTTGTGACTGAACCAGTTTGGTTTGGTTTTAGTTCCAAAATGATAAATCAGCTGCATGTGTAAATTACAGCTAATTTATGTCAGTTTAGTCCACAGTCTTGCAAAATGCTCCACTGTTGAACTGAAATCAGCTGAACTACTTTGTCCTAAAATGGATAAATGCTCATTATTGGATGGCCCAATTAAGATTTTTATTACATAATGAGATTTCTATTGAATGTAGAGTAGAATTGGAGCATCAGAGAAAACTTAGTGTTTCGTTGGTAAGTAACTATAGCAAAATGTTCTCCTTGAGCTATTCTTAAGACACTACTGGTATAATTTCAGTAGAAGAAAATCCTGCCCAAAACCGGGGTCCAGAACTAAGGGGATTAATCATTAGTACATGACATGACATGATATGACATTTTCCTTATTTTTTCTCAATCTTCCCTTTTTATTGTAAAAGAGGAGCTGAAAATACATCATGTTGTTTGAACTGTTGTATGCAAAATAAAGCAGGGCTATGGATATTTTAATTCTTCTGTATCTCTCAGTTCTGTGTTTTTCACTTATTTGTGATTCAGTCCTGATTGAATGAATATTATTTTTATATCATTTAAGCTTTTTGTGCTCTGGTATTAGAATACAGTTGCAGAATGAAAACAGTAATTACCCAGTTCTCTGACAAGACAAAACAAAGAATTTGAATTCAAGGTAGCAATTTGGGCTGCTCCCTGACCTCAGGATTTTCTTTGGCTTAATTGATTTGGTTTGAGCTTTAAATGTTTTTCTTTGCTATCTGTGGTTCACAAGCAGTCTTTGTGAACTGATGGACCAAAGTTAGACTTTGTAACCATTTTAAATATCAAAATTAATGCATTGCTATGAAAAGTATCATTTTGGGAGATGCCTCATCCTAAAGAACAGTGAGGTTCAGTTATATTACTTTAAAATAGTTTAGAAAATTCCACTGTGCTGTTATTCTTCGTTTGAAAGCTGTGGATATATATTTCATATCTGCTTTAGTAGAATGTTTCAGACAGTAAAAGACAGTAATATCTGGTAAATACTCCTGTGCACCATATCAGTTCAGCTACTCTATTAGTAATTTAATATCTCTAAACACCTGGAGATTCATTATCTCCATTTCTATTTACTAAGACTTGTAACAAATATAAATGACAATGAAAGGAAATTAGTGAGTCCTCTGAAATCTGTCAGAAATGTCTACAGTCCATACAGTTTTTGTGATTTATTCTCTGTGCCTCCTTATCTGGTACAGTTTCTTCCTGGCCCAATAGCAGATTGCTGAAGTCTTTCATATCAATGCTTTTATATGACATAGAGACAACAGTCATAAAAAATGGCAATAACATTTTTGAGTTATTTAATAACAAAAAATGTGTAATGTAAAGTAACTTGTTCAGCTAAGACAAAACTGGCAACTTATAAAGCACAAGCATCATATAGAGATTGTTGTCAGAAAATTTAAGTCTTGTCATAGCTCTCTATTTAGATTTATAAGGCAGTTTACTTATTAGGATGAACAGGTGGAACACTATTATTTTCTAGGTCCATATGGATTAAAACTTCCAGTTATGCTTTGGTCAATTGTTTAAACAATAAGCTCACTGTCTATGTTTCTTTCTCTCTCTCTTTTAAAATTAACTGGAATATGTAACTTTGATAAAATATGGATTTTTGTCATGTTCTGAGACTGGGTCTATTCTTTTTATTATATTTTAAAAAATAATTAAACCAACTCTGTGACACTGAAGACAAAGATGGTCTTGGATTCACTCTAACTCTGAAATTAAGAGTTTGCACAGAACTGCTGTGCAATCAGTAGTTCTCCATCCAGAATGTATGTAGTTGATAATACAGTGCTAGTTTTGTCCATACTCAGTAGCATCCTGGGTTGTTTATTGGGTTGTTTGTTTGTTTGTTTTTCCTATAGGTTGTTATTTTGTTTTAGTTTTTGTTTTGTCTGTTTCACCTGATTGTCAGAATCATTCTGAACTCTAATCCTATTCTCCGGAATGGGCGCAAATTCTCTAAGTTTTCCAGAAAGGCAAAGTGAAGTTCACCTTGAATTCTTCCCAAATGTGTCAGTATAAAATCACAATGGCAAAAACCATAAATTACAAAACCTGCAGAAACGGTGTTCTGCACGCAAGGAGCTCTTTACTGATCAGTGCCGTCTATAAAAGAGATGCTTTAAACTTCCCGAGGTTAAATAGAAGAAACGGATTTCTAGAAAGGTAATGACATCTGCTTGAAACACCTGTTACTCTTTCAAATAATTTTTAAAGGGAATTTTGTAGTTATGCCAATCGTTGCATTCCGAGTGCCAAAAACGCAAGGTGAAGACGTCTGCATCAGTGAAACAGAAGTGCTTACGCTGTTTTGTTTAAAACCAGGATGTAGGGAATAAGGGACAAGCATCCAAGACGGATACACTGCAGGTCGCGGCCACACGAAGCAGGAGCGTTCCGTCCGTCCGTCCGTCCGTCCGTGCGGCGGAAGGAAGGAAGGAAGGGCCCGCAGCGTCACGGCCACGGCTGCGCACACGGCGCGGCGCCGGGCTGCCCCTCTGCTTTTCCCTGCCTCTCCTGCCCTTCCTCCTGCTCCTTCCCGTCCTCCTCCTCCTTCCCTCGGCTCCCATGGCGGCGAGTGACACGGAAAGGGCCCAGCAGCAGGTGGGCGGCGGGGAAAGCGCTGATTCAGGGGCTCCCGGTGAGCCGCGGCCCCGGGCGGCTCCGTGCCCGCTGTGGCGCGCCCGCACCGACACACCTCAGGGGTCTCGGTTCTGGGTGGAAGGCACTTCCCCGGAGTTTCTTTATGGGAATTTGCTGAGTATCCGCTCCTCCTCAGGACGAGCTTAGTGCCAAGCCTTCGGGGTCTTTCCGCTGCCGGGAGCAGCGCCCGACTGGGAGCTGCAGGGAGCGTGTTGTGATCTGCTCCCCGTCACCTTGCTAACCTTGTCGCTGCTGGGATGACAGGAGTTTCCACAGAAATTCAGATGCTGTTGTGTGCGTGTGAGAACTGAGCAAAGGTTACTTAAAAACCACAAGGTCGCTTAGGTTGGAAAATACTTCTGAGATCATCGAGTCCAGCCTGTGAGCGAACACCGCCGTGTCAACTAGACCAGGGCACTGAGTGCCACATCCAGTCTTTCCTTAAATACCTCCAGGGACTGTGACTCCACCACCTCTCTGGGCAGCCCATTCTAATGTCTAATCACTCCTTCTGTGAAGAAATTCTTCCTGATGTCCAACTTCAACCTCCCTTGGCACACCTGAAGTCATGTGAATCGGGACTGGATCCCCAATACTTAAAACCTTCCTGTACAGTGAATCTTGTCACATCTGTCAATGAGTTGTAGAAGAGCAAAACTTCAAAAAGATGAAAATACAATTGGCACACAAAGTTGTGTGGGTTTTATGGAGAAGTAGTTACTTTTTCTTTTTTTCTTTTTTTTTAGATTGATGAAATTGAAGCCCTTTCATCCATCTATGGTGATGATTGGTGTGTTGTTGATGAAGATGAAAAAATCTATTGCATTAAGATTAGTGACTGTCTGGATCAACCAAAATGGACCCTTTGTTTACAGGTATAGTGGTGGTAAGAAGTTTAGCACAAATTTTGCAGTTAGACTGATGCAGGTGAAACCCTTTAAATATGGTTTTCTATCTACAAAGATGACTAAGAAGCTTTTGGATTGGAGTCTGTGGTAAGACTTTTCAGTGGTTGTTCCTGCAACACATTGGTGTGCTTGCGATGTATTCAGTAGTTGCATATTCTAATTCCACACCTAACCAAAGCATTTCAGTGTATTTCACCAAAGACTAATTTCTGAAATACTTTTACATTGATTTTGTACCTGAGTGAATCTACTGCAGTTGCATCTAGATTTGCTTTCTGGAAAGTGTTGAGAGAAAATGAAATTTGGATCAACTTAATTGATCAACTCCTTACTTTAATGTTTTCAGAACTGAAAGCAATAAGTTTACTTAGTGTAAGAAGCATAGAAGTGTCTACTTAGGGAAGTGTGGTACCACTTACTAAAGTCCAGTTACCATGTGTGCAGTTTCTTTGAGGTTTTTTTTCTGTATATTTTTTGCATCCTTATACATTGCCCCATAAAACATAATTGCATGCATTGCCATTATTGGAGTTTTAAATGCAGATAGTCAGCATTTCTTGTAATTCTGTAAGAACATAACCCAGCTGTTTTCTTCATTTGTAACACTAATGTAGTCCTGGTGCTTGACATCAGAGTCCTTCAGTAAAGTTCATCTAGCTGAGGGGTAGTCCAGTGAATACATATCCTGAATTTTTTTCAGGTGATTTTGCCACCAGGATATCCAACTGCAGAACCACCTATTTATCAACTAAAGTAGGTGAAGTTTTCTTACAAACATTTGTGTTTCATGAATTGCCGCTGTTAATTGTTTTCCTGTAAGTGGAAGTTTAGTTAAATACTCCTTGAATTAAAGTATACCAGTGATGACAGATGTTTCCAGCAAGGATATTCGATTCTTTATACTGCTTTTTCCACAGTGTTTGCAGCTGGAATCTTGATGGTTGGCAAAGTTATATTTTCAAGGTGTTCATCATGTTTATTTGGGAATGTTGGAAGCAGCATATAGCACAATTTTCATTGCATTTCTTTTCATTCTAGTGCCCCTTGGCTTCGAGGACAAGACTATACAGAGCTAGCAAATAGCTTGGAAGAAATATATGTGTAAGTTTGAGACTGTGGAACACAGTAAAAGGAGACAATGTATTTTTAGTTTCTATCTGTTGTGCACTTGAATGTTAAAACACGGGATGTGAAAGCACTGAGTTGCCTTAGAGCTTAAGTGATGACACCAGTCTTTCTTAAAAGCTAAAGGATATGTAGGTTTTTAGATAAACACATTCAGAATCTCTTAACTGGAATCTGGAACATTGTGGACTGTTCATTATCACAGTGTGCAGCTAACTACAAGCCATAATGGGTACATGAGAATAAATAGCATTTAGAAATATTCAAATTACATTATTTTGAATTGCCATGAAAGTGGAGTAGAAAATGTAGTAGTTTTATATGGTCTACTTACTTATTCTAGATCCCAAAGATTATATAAAACAAATGAAAGAAAAGCATTAGGAAGCACAATCATGCCCCAGACAGTGAAATCCGAGCATCTTGCATAAGAAAATGGATTTTTAATGCCATAAGGAAGACAGCGCTTAGTTAGCATAAGGGTTTTTTACTTTTATTAACTGTGTTTCTTAGCTAATTAAGCAACGGATAATTTAAGCAAGTAAAATTTAATTTGAAGTGTTAAAAATGCCCAAGGATTTTAAGTGAAAAGTTCTGTGTGCTCATATTCACCATGGTTGTTCAGTGAAGCAAGAACAGAGGTTGTCCTTAATGCTGTGCAGATTCAAAGGATTTTGTGAAGTCTCTATCACAGGTAGAGCTGCTGGTTCTTTTTTTGTTCCCCCCTGTACATTCCTGTAGGCTGTCAAATTGTGCTGGTTCAGCTTCCTTCTCTCTATATCAGCTGCTGGTCAGGGCCCTTGCTGGTCTGCTGTCACTTCTCTTTGTTCAGCAGGAAGTGAAAGTGCTCGTACTTTAGGCCATATATGTACTTTAGGTCATTTTAAACAGTTAATAAACCTGAAGTAATCATTGATGTGCACAGTATTAGTGAAAATATTTTATCTATAGAATGTCTAAATGATTGTCAGATGAACAGAGATACTCTGCATCGTTTACATTGTGTTCGTCCAGGTTTCTAGTCCTTAGTGATCTAAGTTGTGTAGTTCTGTAGTTTAAACCAACATGAGCTATACTGTCAATCGCTATGGAAAAAATGGATATTTATAGATCACAAGTCTGTTTTAGGAGGCAAAAAGTAATTTGCAACTATTCAGAAACTGTAATTGGGTGATAGTTGGACAAATTGCTGTTTCCTTTTGTAAAGTGGGGAAATTTTATATCTCTTCTAGTGTCTCTCATTCCATGACTAAAAAAAATGTCTTTACATGTTAAAGCAGTGCTTCTGTACAATAAGCTATGTGAAATCAGGGTGTTGAATTGTTCTGGAGTCTGTTTAGGTTTTGAAGTGACAGCTACAAGTTCATAAAATCCTTATTTTTGCTTGAATATTTTTCTTAAAATATGTATGCTTATTTGAATTTGATTGTTTCCAGCAGTAGTGCTGTATACATTATGCAAGGTTTAAATCTGTAAATTTTGTTACTTACCTGGTGCCCAGATGGTGGCAGTAAGAGTAAAATTAATGAGTAACCAGGAGCTATCTACAGCCCTAAATCTTTGGTTTTGTTTCTTAGACAAACATGCACAATTCATAACCATTTTAACGATTTGAAATGTGTTTTGAGTTGTTTGGATTGTGCTGCACATAAAGGAAGCACTTATTAACCCCTAACATGCGTATATAAAATGTGTTTATCACATCCTCCCTCAGTACCTTAATACATACTTGTGCCCCCTGAGTGAAGCCTCCTAGGCCTAAATCTTTATCTCCCTGTCCTAGAGCACTGCCTATTACCCAAATGGTAGTGTTTCATTCCAATGCTCCACTGACCTACTATCACAGTCCACGGATAAGTTTTTCACCTAGTGAGCTACTGAGACAGAACTTTACACAAGCCTGCCTAAGCTCTTTATCTCACTAGCTTAGGTTCAATTTCTGTGTGTCTGAAATCTGTATGTTATGTACTTTCCAAGTGAAATTTGCAAAAGTGATTCTTCATTTACCATGACCTTTTGCTTCCAGGCAGAACCTTGGTGAAAGTATACTGTATTTATGGGTGGAGAAGATACGAGAAGTTCTGGTAGAAAAGGCACAGTCTTCAGATCCAGGTACTTCAGAAAATACATGGGGATTTTATTTTCCTTCTGTTTCCACTGCAAAGTAAGATTTCAGTACAAGTTAGTTTAAGCCCATTTTTGAATTGGATCTAAATATCAGAGAACAGTCACCTGTGTCAGGGCTTATTGTTTTACAGTGGCAGTGTCCCTTTTTAAAGAGCAGGAGGGAAAAGAAGGTGGGGGTGGCCTCTGAACTGGAACAAGGTCTGCAGTTCTCTCGGGAATGAAATTATTTGCTTGAAAGGAGAGTGCTGCCCACAGGTACATTATGCCTTGCTCTCCATTCTGCAAAGGATTATTCATACCAGTAATTAATTTCTGATGTTGAGTGCACTGTTGGAGGGTTGGGATTCAAGAGAAGATAAACTTCAGTGGACTATGCAGACAAATGAGCAAGTATTCCGTTGTTTTACTTTTCTGTCCTTCTGTTTGCTTTACTGTATTGGGATGCGAAGTATATCATCAGCACAGTTGCAGAGATTCTTCTGCTGTTATTCTTAAAGAGTTTGTGTAAATTCACAGTTGTTGCTTCAAAAAATGGTGGGAGGTTTTGTGCATTAAAATGCTAAACTGCTATGAAATGTATGACTGACGTGTGCATGCACTGTGGCAAAAGGAAGCAGAACAACTTTTCTCTATCAGGGGTCAATTTGTGCTGATGCAGACAGCACAATTACCTTTGCTATCTTCATCCTGTGAGAAATAAAAGTCTGAAGAAAAAAAATTTCATTTTCAGCGTTGCTTTGTGGTAAGGTCGAGTGTTAGTCTTTCAATAAACTGTGCATTTTGTTTCTACATCACAGACATTGGAGAAGTCATTCTTCACTGATGTGACTAAAAGAGTGGACACTGTGAAGTGAAAATTTTACTGACAGTATTGGAAGTTTGAATATTTTGACCACAACCTTATGGCTTCCATTTTTGAACATGCTTTATCGCTCCTCTGTTTTTTTATGGAAAATATTTATATTATAAAACCTGCATCATAAGCACATCATAAACCCTCTAAATAGGAATGAAATTGTGATCTGTTAATTTGGCTCTAAATCCAGATGTCAGAACCCTGTATATTTCTTCCTTTGTTATTGACTATTATTTTTTGGACTTTCTATGCATGAAGGAAAACAGGATTTTTGGAATCCCAGAATACTTGAAGCATGTTGAGATACATGTTTCAAAAGTAATAACTTTTTATTTAATAATTTTAAACCCTCATGAAGTAGCATTGAACAACAGCTCTAGATTTTCCCCCAAATGACCAGTAAATGACTGGAGTTTTTTGAAACATCAGCTTAATTTGATACCTAAATTCAGGTTAAAGGTCGCATTTTGAATGTTTAATGGAAATAGTAAACATTATTATTCTTTTTTTCTTAGAAATACTGTTACTCAGTATTGAAACAGAAGGTCTTATGGAAGCATTCCATAGTATGAGTATTTTACTTTTAATTCTCAGGAATTTTTAAGTTAATACTGGGCTGAGTACTTTTGGGTTTTGTTGTAATTAATGTTCCTGTTCTGCATTTAATGATTTTTAATATCAAGCTATTTTGAACTGAGAAGCCAGAGACTTTTGAGAAAAAAAGTTTGAAATTTTGTTTTGCTGGTCTAGCAAAAAATGTGTGATAAATTCTATTACTTATATCTTAATAGAACCAGATATTAAGAAAATCACTGAAGAAGTTGATGAAGATGATGGAAGTGATTTTCTCCTAGACTATCAGCCCACTCAGGAAAATCAAATGTTGAATTGTATGACATCTGAAAGTCAGGAAGGTAAAAAATATGTTCTTGTTAATTCTGTTGAAATAATTTAAACAAAACCTGAAGATTCTGATTTTCTACTCAGCTTTACAATAAAATCAGTGACAATACAATTGCAATAAAGTTTAATAGCAGTCATTAAAATATGCAGTATATTTTTGGTGGGTTTGTACATTATTTTCTGTACTTCACTTGAATGAGTCCCTTTTTTAAAATTTGAGACATTCTTTACTTTCGTAGCCACATGCATTGTTTCTGTCCTCTTAAAAGAAAAGAAACACTCCCTTGTTTGTGACCCGTAGATGAAGAACTGCCCCCCATACATCATGGAAACCCAATCACAGATCGAAGGAGCACTTTCCAGGCACATTTAGCTCCAGTGGTGACAACCAGACAAGTTAGTAGAGATCAGTTCTTCTCTTTTTGCCTGTACTTTGAGCTTAACAAAATATTGCTATAATACTTGGGATTTGCCAGATATGTTGGTCTGTCTGTGCATCTTTCTGTGCTAATACTGTCTGATTAGTCATTGGTTTCTCACTTTTACTATCAGCTGAATAGTGAAGTAACAGCTCTTCTTCCTGCTATTCTCTACCACTATGTGCATTAGAGGGAAGAGAATAAGAACACTGTAATTTGACTTCTGGATGTTGTCAAGTTTATCATAAGATGCTTGGAAGTTATCGAGTCTATCATGTGTTATTTGGAAAAGCTAACACATAAAATGGGTTTATATATGTTTTCCCTCCTTCAGAAAGGAATTCTGTTGAAAGACACAGTTGGATCATGCATAAGTAAATCTTTATTATGACCTAATTAAGAGGGGTTTGGAGCTTCTTTTATATGTCACTTTCCATCTATTACCATCAGCCTCCTTTGATCATCCCTTTTTAGTGGGGAAACTACTGTTTTCTTTTATTAACTCAAAGTTAAACCTTGAGAGGATTTTACTCTTTCTTTTTATGCAATTTTAGGTGTTTTTAAAATAATTTTTAGGTAAGGGGTGGTGTCAAGTTCCAGGTAAGCTACGTCTACTACATACTCAGTGGCTATGAAAATGTACTGACAGGTTGACAGTGTTTTTAGGTTGATTTCTCTATACAAAAGCTGTAAGGTTTGAAGCCATCTGTCTTTTGTTTTGTTTTGTTTTTTCTTCCCCCTTGTTAATTTGCTTAATATGGACATAAGAATTGGTCTCTAAATCCCAGCATCCCTTTTGGAGCACTTTGACCTTTCAAGTTCACATATACTGTATGTTCATGTGGGGTTTTGTGTGTGTAGAACAATCTTACTCACAAATCATGATAAAAGAGTGAGAGTATTTGAAAATGAAAAAGATACATTAAATCAATGATTCCCATTTATTCCCTTTCTAAAGTAACAGTTCATTTATTTTATATATATATCTTAAAGACTCAAAGAAGATACAGCTGTAGCACAAAAATTGATCTTTAAAGTACGTTTTTAGGAACCAGGTAGCTGGGAAATATGTAATGTCAAAGGTAGTGATCATTTTATATAAATTATCCTTTAAGTCCCTGTATTGAAACTTACTGTTTTAACATACTGTCCATATTTATGAAAGTGTATTAAGTAATACGAGTTGTCTTCCTTCCATGTTCAAAGTAAGGAGAAGATAGATATCTGAACCAATATTTTCCATTAATAATAGGATTTTTTTCATTGAGATATCTTTTATTTGATGGGATTTTTGTGAGTCGAATTTGTTCAAGAAGAATTGGAAATTGCACAGTGTAGCTAGGGCAGATATTAAATATGTCTATCAATTACTCCTCTGAGACATTTATTTTTCAGTGGAAGGCAATTTACTTGCCAAACATGTTTTCCCAAGCTTTCTGAACTTCTGTAATGTTTTGTATTATGTACTAAAAGGATGCCTTAATCAAAAACTCTTCTTTTTGCTAGACCATTGGAAAAGGGTTTAACAATTGCCAGCTTGTTTACTTAGAAACATATGATGAACTGATATTGGTAAATGTTTTGAATTTGGTACTTCCTAAGAGCAAAGAGATCACAGACATGATAGGAATATCTGCTTTCTGGGAAATGCTGACACTTTCAGGCCACTAATGTTTTTTGGTTTTACTGTTCTTTCTGTGAAGTGGAAATGATGAAAAAAGCATGTTTGAGGGAAAAGGAAAAACTTGAAATGTAGTAAGGCTTTCTAAACATCACATTTTTGTGAAATAAGTAAAAGCAGTGTGTATTGGGAATATGTATGTTGTGTTCTATTCCAGCTTAACTTTATTGTTAAAAAAAGTAAGCAGGTGCAGTTGATACTTAATACTAACTAAATATATTTTCTAGATCTTAACTCTCTCTTGTTTAATAAAGCAATGTGACACTTCTAATCTTGAGCAGTAATATGAATGTACACAATGTAGAAATTGAATGGACAATCTGTTTTCAGTATCCCAGGAAAGCTGTTTAAAACAAGTATGAGAATACTGAGAAGCTGCTTCTTGAGTTACCAAACATTTTATGTCAAAGCATAAAATTGTTTCATTGTTGTATTAGAGAGATGTTTGTTTAGCAGTGATATTGAGAGGGATGTATGAAACTCCTGTTATAAAAGGAAGGTTTTTCTGTTGTTTTTTATAGGTTAAAAGAGTTCTTGAAAAATTATATGAGAATAAGAAAATTGCAAGTGCTACTCACAACATATATGCATACAGGTGAGATACAAACAGTGATTTTTCATTCTTCTTTTTAGTGTGCTTTCACAAACGAGTGTAGGACATGAGAAAGAAATTCATTCCTATTAAATTCTTGCTATTAAAAGAAATTCCTTGCTTTAGGGTGTAGTTTTCTTATTTGTATGGTTGGTGTTGCAGGTTTTATTTTGTATTTGAGGTCCAGAAAGTAGGACATACAGTAGGAAATAAGGTAGTGAAGCAGCATTAGGAATAGAAAGAAAAAGTGGATTTGAACATGTATCAGTATACTTTTGTAGTATGTCTGAGCATGGAGATGTTACATCATCCTGAACTAAATGTGTTTTTATTTGGGTGAAGTAACTTCTTTTTCCCCCCAACCTTATATTTAGAAATAGCTGAAAATGTTCAATTGAAATAAGAGTCGGATCAGAAAGGCTGATGCAGATATCTGGCATATGAAGTTTCAGCTGAAATACAAGAAACATCAGGGATTATGAGAAACAGGTAAAAATGAGTTTGGCAGTCACCTGCCTCTGGCAACTTTTGTGAACATAGCTTATTAAATTAATTGATCTCAGTCCAGATAGCAGTGTAGGTTTTCTGAGGAATGTAAGTGACAGTAAAAGGGAGGAACTGTAGGAACCAGTTATCTAAAAAAGCATGTACAGATGCTTATCCATTTTTGCCCATCCTGCTGTGTTCCTAATGAAACATGAAATGAGAGCAAGTGAAACCTTATTTTACCAAAAAGTAAAAGCTTCTACCTAAGTAAAAAGTTTCTGTAAAGAGGGCATTTTTGTTCTCACAGATGATTATCTGGCTCCCTTCACTCGTGTTATTCAAATCTGCATTAAAAAAAAAGAAAAAAAAGGAACATGCACATAGTTACTGCTTCATCTTTGTCGTCTAGTACTAGAAGCCTCTTTCTCATTGTGTCACCTGTAACTAAGTTTAGAAGTTAGGAAATAAGTTGGTAATAAACCAACTTATTGGTCAGTAGACCTCTGAGCATGACTTATGGAAAATTAGGCCTGGGCAGCTGTCTTTTTTATGAAACAACATACCCAAAAGTTTATTGCAGTGCCCCCTGAGGAGGGAGATGACATGGAGAATCCAAGGGCAAATTTCAGTAATAGTTTCATACAAAATAGTTTCAGACAAAATATTAATTTTTATTTTAGATTGATGTTGTTTCAGTTGCTGCTGAAATACAGACATAATTAATTATTAATAATATTTTTGTCCAAGTTCTTCTTTTAGGGGTATAGTATTACTTGAATCTGTATCTAGTAGAGTTGGTTTCAGCTAGATGCAATTACTAGGCTAAAAAACTGGGCATTTTTCTGTTTATGGACTTTAAACTGGTAATGACTGGAGTTTACTTGAAGCAGCTAAAATCTGTGTAAAAGCTTCTCAAAACTTGTTCTACTATACAGATAAATACTTGTGGTTTACCCTATGCCTCATCCTATTTTCATGGAAATACATGTAACAGAGAATTAGAATTAATACACATGTATGAAAGATATGAGACTTTATTAGTCATGTATAAATATTTGTTGATTGACATTGTAAAATCTATTTTATGGTTTTCTTCCTTGTGTAGAATATACTGTGAAGATAAGCAGACGTTCCTACAGGATTGTGAAGATGATGGAGAGACAGCTGCAGGTGGACGTCTTCTCCATCTTATGCAGGTTGTAGAAATTAATCTTTGGCTTTTGGAAATTTTGAATTTGTATTTATTTTAAAAATCACTACAATGTAAATAAGCTTGTAGAAGATTATTTTAATTTTTGCTCTGGTAGCAGCCAGCCAGATGATTGCTTTCTCAAGGTGAAAGGAAAAACATAGACTGTAGCACTTTCAAGTCTCGGGTCATAGGAACAAGTGATGTTTCATAGGTGGCAGTAATAGTTTGAATGGCTTAAAATATAACTAAGTTTTAAATGCTGTGCTTCCTGTGTGGTGTGAGGTACACAGAAAATGAATACTAGGAGAAGCTGACTGTCACAATATAACAGCTGACCTGTGCACAACCTTTCATGTGGTTCCCGTGAGTAGGTGTAATAAAGAGACACCAATAAGTGAACTTGCAGAGTGGAACTTCAAAACAAAAGGATTGAAGAAGCTAAGCTGTTTTGATTAGTTAGTCGGTTTTGTTGTGCTGTTTCTTGTTCTGGGTCCTTAGCCCTCATACTCATGTGTTACTATACTCACATATATTTTAGTCTTCAAGTGTTGAAATAATATTTGGCAGAGGTGCTACTAAATGTGACTGAGTTGAGATGGATAAATTTTGGTTCATGATACAAGCCCTAGTAAAACCATAATTAAAGTAGCACAACTACAGGAGACAGCTGGGTGTATCTTAATGCTGTGCCTCACGTCGCTTCGCTGTGTGAGCAGACAAAATATTCATTTTTATTTTAGTTTGATGTTCCCTTCACAACAGGAGTTTTATTTTCCTGTCCTTTTCTTGTCTGAATATTCTTTTGCCTAGTATATTGCACTCTTATTCCTGGAAACATTTCTTCCCCCCTGAAATTTCCTTTTTTTTCCTAAAAATAAAAAGGTAGTTGATGGAAACATTTTGACATTTTTAATTTTGAATTTTTTGAAACTTCCTAAATAACTCAAACCAGACTTGGGGAGGTTAAATAAATAAACAAACTTAGCTTATGTAATATATGCAAGTATATGTCCTAAGTGTGAAAGTGTTATGAAAATAATGTAAAGATACAGTTTGGCAGTTACTGTACCTCAGTTTGTTCTGCGATTATTAGCTTTTTCTCAGCGTGTTAGTGCATACTTTTGAACGTTGTCTAGGCACTTAATATTCCATAAAAATCCAGTTCAGAAAATGACATGAATGTCACTTTCAAATGTGAATGTCTGTAAATTGTATGGATCATCATTCTCCATCTGTAATCCTAGTTACAGGGAATATTTCTGTTTTGCAAGAATAGTAAAATAAGGATCAGAAAAGCTCAGTTTTCAGCCATAGGAAAATACTGAAGTAGTGTATGGGCTGATTTCTAGATGTTCATAGGTCTTGTAGTTTTTTTGAGTTCTTATGATATATGGGTATGGAAAATAAGTGATTTAAAACATTTATTGGTGCTGAATTTATAGGGTTGTTTTTTTGTTGTTGTTGTTTTCCTTTTTTTTTCTTTTTTAATAGAAATCAATCTTGTTTCAGATAAGACCAGCATTTCAAAATAGCACTTTCTGGTTACAAGAAACTGTATTTTAGACTAGTACCATCCTGTTTACCACCAGGAGTTGTTATACATATACTTTATGGTCAATACATAAATGTAGAGTAGAAAATTCCTGTCACAGAACATGGCCCTAGTCCATTTAATTTTAAAATTCTAAGAATATTTCTGTTTTCACAAACAGTGATTGACTCTTCTGAAAGTATTGTTCAAATCAGTCAGATACCTGTTTTTTTTCTCCTTAGAATACATTATTAATGGTTGTTAACATGCACATATTAACAGCACTAGCGTATGGCATTTTATATATCTATATGTATAATGCCTGTGGCCTGGCTGTTATTAGCCTCATCCACCAACACTTCCAAAAATGTGAATAGACAATCAGCTTAGTGACAAGAGTAATAATTGATCAAACCAAAGAATAAGAAATGTAACTCAATTTTTAAAAATAAAAGATAGTAGACCTTTTTTATGTTTCCAGTTGGTGTCATCAGTAAAACCAGGTTCAATTAAAATACAACAGCTTATATTGCTTTCTTGTATTCACAGATTCTGAATGTCCACAATGTGTTAGTTGTGGTGTCCCGCTGGTATGGAGGTATTCTCTTGGGACCAGATCGTTTCAAACATATAAACAATTGTGCAAGAAATGTACTTGTAGAGTACGACTATGTACCATCAACGGTATGTTCCATCCCTCCAGAATGGAGACATTGTGTGTGAACTTGAACTTGTGTGACTTTCCACTGTTAGATGAAGCCAGAAGAAAAGTAATACAACCTGTGTGAATGGATAAACATGTCCAAATTTTCATAAATCTCTGTGAAATATGAATACTGTTCATATTAAAAATAATTATCATAGGTAACCTTGGGAGAATACTTGTGGTTTACAAGAATACTTTTTAAATTTTGCAATGCATGTTTTTTCGTTTCAGGAAGAATCTTCTAGACAAACTGGAAAGAGCAAAAAGATAAGGAAGGAAAACAAGAAGAGAACAGAGCACTAATTCATTTTTAAAAAACTTTTAGAAGATTATTTTGCACATATTTATACAAAAAAATCCTGGACCTTATTGCTTTATATCATAGAATGGACATGTTGTATTTGGAAAAGAATTCATTAAAGCCATAGATATATTTTCATCTTGTTTTATGATTTTTTCTTCTGTTCTGAAGTAGAACTTAGACACAAGTTTTCTGCTTCTTACACATGTGAGCTCCTTGTTATGAGGACAGTGCAGCATCTGAAACCATTGCTCCATCCCACCCCTTCCCACTGAACAACAGCTGACTAATTGAAAACATGGATTTCTCATCTTCTTCATTCCTAGATTCAAGTACATGTCTTGTATCTGTAGTTTCTTGTACTGAGAGTGGGACTAGAGTCATTCATAGACCAAGTCACAAAGTTTCAGATACTCTTTTGAGAAAGGAAAGCATGGGATTGAATGTGGTGTTTGGAGTACCTGGTCCTGCCTGTGCAGTTCTGATCAGATGCTAGATAGAGGCTGCTTGGTGATGTATGGAGACTGAATGTGAGTAGTGAGCTAAGAAAAGTGATTAAACTACTACAGAATTTCTTTGAGGATTGTTCTGTGATGGTTGGCACACCAGGAGCCTGTTGAAAAGATGAGAATTTCATGCTGCATAATTAAAGGAACCAGTGAAATAGACCATACAGTCAGAGCAAAATTAATCCCCTACCCTTTAAAATGTCTGAAAATGGACCATCAGAGTGGAAATGCATTTTTATTTTCACAAAATTTCTTTCAGCGAAAGCATGAAGTACTGTCTGTCTTGTGGACACTTTTGGTTAGAGAAGTTCCAGTCCCTTACTATTTTAGTTTGCAAGCATTTCCTAAATTTAAACTTCCTGTATTCTAAGAAGTAGAAACAAGAGAAAGAGATTACAAAAATGTCTGACAATTACTCTTAACTGTAAAAATTCTGCTGGGACGTTATTTTGAATGTTAAACTGAAGCAGCAGTTTTAACCATTTTTATCAAATACTGTAAGATTTTTAAGACATACTGCTCACTTGTGAAAGAGTTACAAATTTCATTACCTGGCAAAAGAAAAAAGAAAAGAAGGATGATATAATTAATTTACACTCAAAGTACAATTGCCTGTCATAAAAATATGTCAACAAAGAACCAGGAAAGGGTGGATAGTGGCTTTTATATTTTTGGCTACTCTGTTGTAGTATTTTCTTATTTTCCTGGTTTTGCTTTGTTATTCTGAAAATGAATCAGGTGTACAACTGAACACAGATTGGTCATTACAGCATTAGAGGTAGTATCAGAATGATTTTCTTTTTCCTTTTTGTCTCAAACCTAAATGAGCAGACAAGAGTTTGTATCTGCTCTCTGACTGGGGTACTTCATTAGCTGAGTATCTTCTGAAGAATTGCTTGGTGGTTTCACTGTCAGGCATTTCCTCTAACTGTCCTGCATGCATCTCAACATATGAAAAGTCACATTCTTTAAATCTTAACTTTTAAAAGTGAAGATAATTGTCTTTCTTACAGCAGCATACCAATTCTGGGCTGTTAGTAATTTCTTCAAATTGTAAGTAATTCAGGATGTGGTTCTACTGTTTAGTATGTGTTTAATGTGGGGGAAAGAAGGAAGATAAAGATGAGACATCTACTTGTGGATCCTTTTGGTGTGTTCATCTTTGCTATACATTTATTGCCTAGAATGTCTATTTCAGTAAAAAATGGAAACAGTTTTGTAGCTGCTTCAAAATTTTCCTAGCTAGATGTGTTCTAGACTGATTTAATCCTTGTCATAGCCACGCACAAAGAAAAATTCTTAAAGCTAATGAAGTAGATCTCCTATCAAACTTCATATGTGTCGATGCCTTGCAACACACAGGCTTTCCAAGCATGGTGTGGAAGAGTTAGGTATTTAAGAATTCAAGAAATCAAGTTAGATCTAAAATCCAATAAGAAATTTTGAGGGAGGGAGGCGGAATACAATTAGGCAGCTATATACTTCTGGAAAGCACTCTGAGATTTAAGCCATGTGGCAAAGACAGCTGGCAACAGTGAAACTGCTGAATTTTGTTTCGGGGATTCAGTATAGCTAGCAGAAGAAAGACTACTGGTATTAGTAATAGTGCCACAGTGTGTTTTCTGCAGAACCTGGACACAAAATAAAGCTAAACCAGTGATGGACATAGACGCTGTGAAGATACTTACATGGATAATAAAGTTTTGCATGTTTGTACTATTGCCATTCAAACATTCAGTAGAAGCACTTGGCAAACACTAACGAATTTGTTCCCACAACAGAAGTGAAGACATGACAGCCAACATTTTTCAAATTTAAGTATTTAAAATTAGACACCAAAGTGTTTTTAGAACCCATGATAAAAATTACTGATTTTTTACAACTGTAGAATACTCACAGCTCTGCAAGTGGCTTCATTACTCATACAAAATATAAGCATTTGTGGAATACTCATGATTTTTTTCCACCAGTGTGGAAAGAAATGCCTCATCCTGTTAAAGCTAATTGCCAAGCTTTCATTCTCATTCAGGGAGTCTGTATTGAGTTCCTGTGTTCTGAGGAAACAGCAGCTGGTGATGTGTCGCTGAAGCTGCTGCTAAGATTTTTGAAACTGATTTCAGTGAGAGTTTTGAACTGATCTCTGAGGGTTGGACCATTGCAGGTTACCTGCTCCAGTAAGTAACTGTATATATACTTATTCACATCGTACTGGTTTTCAGCCCCCGAGTGCACAAAAAGGAGAACAGCAGCAATAACAAAGTCAACCATGACTTTCATCAGCAAAAAGTATAAATATATAAATAGAGAGGGACCGACGGCTTGCTGAATTGCAACAATGTCAGACAAACAAGGATAAAATCAAAAAGTAATTTAAATTCTCATTAAGATATGCACACAGGTTGAAGAAAAAAAATTATAAAAAGTTGTACATAATGCTAGCAAGAAAAACACATCAGGAAGGGAGGGAGGAAAGCAAGAGGGAACCTCAAATCAACCCTCCTGACCTCCACAGATAAAGGATCATGTTGCTTAAAGAACTTGCATTTTAAGATACAAGCTTGAAAAACCTGTATATTTGTTAACCAGAACTCTGCTAGAGTTCTGCTTTAAGAGAATCATAGGAAAATTAGATTGATCAAGTATCAAAAGCTTTTTATTTTTCCCCCTCCTGAGAAAAAATGTTTGGGTGCTTATAGGATTTTTGACCCATCCTATTTTAACTCCTTATGAATCTCAACCTTTTGGATAACTTTGCCTGATACAACTTCCTTCCCAGACTGACCTGGACAGCCACCATGCACAACAGCACTGCCGAAATTCCGCATGTGGCTGCGAGGTGTAACGAGACTTGGCCCACCCAGCCTCCGAGCTCCGAGTTCTCCCTGGGCGTGTTGGTGCTGCTGGCTTTCCTCATGGTGCTGCTGTGTCTGGTGACCATCCTTGGAAACATGCTGGTGATCCTTGCTTTCATGATGGACTCAGGCATCGGAGTAACTATTTCTTTCTGAATCTTGCTGTTTCTGACTTTGCAGTGGGTAAGTCAGAGCTGTGGAGCCATGTGCTAACTGTGTTGTAGGAGTCTTAGGAGAAGCACTGGTATTTATTTTTGGTGTGTTTTCTTCTGAGAGAACTATTTCCCAGCTGTATCTGGGGGAAGGATGGGAATGGTAGAAGCTGCATGAAGTGTTTTAGCAGCCTATTATTTTTTAGAAAATAAAGGATGTTTTATTAGGTAAGCAGGTACTGTTTAATATTTCAGGATAAAATACCACTGTGTGAATTTTATGGACTAACAAAGAATGAAAGTTGTTTGTGAAGAGTTTTGGCTGAAATTTAGATAGTCGAATCAGATACAGCCTGTATTATCTGACAGCTTTTGCATACCTGGTCAATATCTTCTATTTCAGTCTGCTATCACACAACACAGATCATCACCTGATATTTGTGACTAAACAGCAACGAATGCTATTTTTAAACATTTTGCTGTACATGCTCTATATAGAGTCATACCTTAGGAATGTGTTGTATAGGCAAACAAAAAATTACAAATAAAGCAATTTCTAATAAGTTTGATGCTACATGTATATTTATACATAGGGACACATTTAGTTTTGAAACTTTTACTGCGAGAAAGTACAATTAAAACAGGAGTGTGATGGTCAGTTTGAGATTGAACTCTTGCAATATTCTGTGAATTGTTTGGTGTCTTTGCTAAAATCCTTGGTTAAATTATTGAGTGTGTAGAAAGATGGTTTTAAATAGTTGTGGCTATTTAATGAAATCGGTGTTCTGACTTTTCATATCACAACTTTTTTTTTTTTTTTAAGTACACTTTTAAGAAGTATACTAAAAAAGCAGAAGAACCTTTTTGTAAAAACTTTTTCCTAGTGTCAGAAGTTCTGTCAGGGGCACAATTTCTAATAGTCCTCTCCTTGTAATGTCCACATCTCCTTGTATAATGTTTTGATACCTCCCTGCATATGTTTGATGTCTTCTTACAGCTTATTTCTACCTTGTGCTGCAGGGCTCTTGCTGCCTGTTCTTCTGTTACAGTGCACTGGAAAAAAACAGCAATGAGCAGGAAACCAGTGTACAAACTGGTGTTCTCTCATCTGACTCACAATCTAGCATCATATTGAACAAACACCAGCATCTAGCTGAGAAATACAAAGTAAATAACATTCTCTGCAGAAGAAGGAAATACAGCTTACTTGGCATTACCTACTTTCCATAAATTTTTGTTTTGTGATATTATGTTTACCTGAGTGTCTAATTTTTAATTATAAATTGTGTTAAAAACATTGCCTTTGCCTGTTTGACTTTACTGTCAAAATGATTTGTATTTTTGTAGCTATATAATTCAAATTTGGGATATGCCTAAATTATCCTTATTTTCTTCTTGATCTAAATTGCTAAAAGCTTGAAGAATAATTTGCTTATTCTTTTAACATATCTAATCTAGCTGCTTTTGGCATTCAGCAATTTTTGCTTTGTCTCTGTGCTTCTGGACCTATAGCTGGGTTTGAATAGAGATCTCTTGATTCTTAGTAGAGGGAGAACAACAGGAACTGTAAGATTTTTATGCCAATGGAAATTCTCAAGATACTCTTACAGGACTACACACTATTA